AAAAGAAAGAAAGGAAAGAAGGAAGAAGAAAGGAAGGAAGAAAGGAAGAAAGAAAGAAGCAGAACTGGGGGCATGTCTCAAGTACTCCTAGCAAGCACAGAGACCTGAGTTCAAATCCCACTACAGCCAAAATCAAATAAAATAGATGTGTATGGGGAAGGTGACAATGCACTGGGGCTGGCCCTGCCTTGTTTACTTGTGTAGTTCAGGGAGCCTTCCACCCAGCAAAGCCCAGCTTTCTTTAATCTACATACAATCAATGCAGGCACAGGCAGGCACCCCAAGTTACTAGTGAGACCCAGCCCTCTCTAGGGGCACCCTTGTGGAGCCCTTAGCCTTCTTCCAGCCCCAGATAGGTTTCTGAGGGAGTTAACTCCTGGCCTCTGGGGTCTGATCCTCACCTGACCCAGTCACAGGAATAGGGTTATATTGTGGAGACACAGAAGCAGGAACTAACACATCGGACCAACCTGAGTGGGACTTGAACTCAGGACCACTGTCCCTCGGTATTTTTGCTCAAGGCTGGCACTCTATCAACAGGCCACAGCTCTGCTTCCAGCTTTTGGCTGGTTAACTGGAGAGAGGAGTCTTTCAGATTTGTCTTCCCAGGTTGGCTTCAAACTTGGATGCTCAAATCTCAGCCTGCTGAGTGGGACTATAAGTCATATCCCAAGTATCCCAGGGCATAATGGTACCCAGAGCACCAAACATGATAGCCCCAGAAGGCCTTCATCCCCAAGGTCCCCATCCTTCCAGTCCACAGCCCATAGAAAACTCTGACCCCTAGATTCTACCAGGGTCCTGCCCCCATCCCTGCCTTGGAAAGCTAGCAAACTCTTCTAAACTCTGGGCTGAGCCCATTTTTCCAGATGAGGAAACTGAGGCCTACAAACCTAGCTGAGTTTCCTGAGAAAACATTAGCAGAGCTGAGGATGGCTGTTCCCACAGGACTCAAGCCGATATAAAAAGGATAGGATGTGTTGGTAGAGAGTGGCTCATGCTGGTAAACATAGCTACTCAAGAGGCTGAATTCTGAGGATCACCATTCAAAGCCAGCCTGGGCAGGAAAGTATGTGAGACACTTACCTCCAACTAATTAGCAAAAAACTGGAAGTAGAGGTGTGGCTAACGTGGTAGATCACCAGCCTTGAATGAAAAAATCTAAGGAACAGTCACCAGGTCCTGAGTTCAAGCCCCACGACTAGCAAAAAACAAAAGTATAGGGATGATAGGGTTGCAGAACCAGTACTACAGCCCATGAAGTCTGTAACCATACCAGGGATGTTTGAAAATTTACCATGACTGGTGGTCTCTGACCATCATATTCCTAATCCCTAATAAGAGAGATCCCCCCAAAACTCAGCTGCAAACCCCAGCCACCCTTACATGAGCCCCTACGCCCTGCAGACCCATGGCCATTCATTCCTCATTGAGCCCCACTCCCTAGGACCTCTTCACATGTGGTACCTAAGAGTTGAATCCCAGCTACTTTGTCCCCTGCTTAAAGCACAGCATCTCTCTCTGATGCCCCTCCAGACCAACTCTGCAGGCATGGTCTGAGGCAGAATTGTCTTTCTGTCTTACTTAAGGGTCCCCAGGGACACTGGACACTGTATGACTTCCCATCCTCAATGTGTCCCCCTCTCATCCTCAACCTTTTGGCCTCAGCTCTGATGCGTGTGTGTGTGTGTGTGTGTGTGTGCGCGCGCGCGCACACGCGCGCACATGCATGTGCGTGCATATGGTGTTGTCCTGAGGCCGGCTTGAACTCAGGGCCTGAGTACTATTCCTGAGTTTTTTCACTCAGAGCTATCACTCTTTCACTTGAACCACAGTTCCACTTCTAGTTTTATGGTAGTTAAATGGCGATAAGAGTCTCATAGACTTTCCTGGCTGAGCTGGCTTTGAACTGGGATCCTCAGATCTCAGCCTCTTGAATAGCTAAGAAGAGCCCTGTCCCTGGTCCATTATTATGCAAGCACCTGTGAAACCTCTTTTTATGCATTATGTAGAACTAAATCTTCAAGAAAAGGAAAACACAAACAGAACAAAGTGAATGGTTTAGTGCAAATGAAAAACACACACACACACAAGGTCGAGCCTGGCCATATCTCACAGGATAGTATTGAAGACAGAAGCACATAAGGCCACCCCCCCTAGCCTAGAGGGACTCCTAGCCTGTGGCCCCCACCTGACATCTGCCCAGCACATATGCCTCAGCAGTGTTCCCAGGCCCTTACATCATTGGGGCACGTGGCCTACCCTGGGCAGGGCCTCTATTCTCCCAGCCCCACCCCCCCTAGTCCTTGAGGCCAGTGAGTGTAACGAAGATTCTTGCTTGTTAATCTTTTATCTGGAACTTTGGACTACAGGCCAGTCCCTTCTTTCCTCCCCCCTGGAGCCCACACCATCTCCTCACCCTGACCTTTTCAGTAAGTGCCCTTTTATGCTGTCAGAGGCTCCTAGGAGAAGGGATGGCAGGCCACTGGACTCAGTCTCAGCAGGAGTTGCAAGCTGGGCCTGGATCTCTACTTGCTAATGAGTCCCTGTATGATTTTGCTCCAGGACTCAGTTTCTTTAAATACAAAATGGGAATCCTTAGAAGAGATTTTCTCAAGAGTTCTCAGAGGTGACTTATGCATATACAGAAACTCTTGAGAATAGAACCTTCCAAGACTTTAGCAGATGATATGTAGCACCAATGCTAAATATGGAAGGCCCATAACTCTGGCTAAGTGTTCTTAGAGTCACTTCCCTCTCTGAGCTTATCTCTCAAGGGAAGAATAGCACCAACTTCAGAGCTCCTAAAAAGCTGTATCTCCTAAGCAGAGCCCCATATTGTGAACTGTATACTCTCTTTCTCCCAGAACTGAACTGGGAAAATTTTAACTAAGAAAAATTGTGTTGCCCAAATGCCTAAAGGGTCAGGAAACGGAGGCTTCTTGTGCTCTGCCTCTCATCAGCAGCTCTGCCTAGCAGGAGACCACAGCCACATCTCAAGGCATCAGTAGGCCCTGTTTTAATCACACTGGCTCCCAGCGGGCCTCAGTTCTCCTCTGTAAAATGGGTACAGCCCAGCCCTTTGGCTGAAGAAATAAAACCACAGAGCCTGCCTCACCTACCCATTGGGCATTTCTTTCTGGACTCTTCAAGGTCCCTTCCAAGAGTGCTAAGGGGGTGGCCTCCAGTTCTCTGGAACCCTGTGTCCCTGGAAGGCCTCCCAGATTAGGGAGTACAGAGCTACCTTGGGAGCAGGGCCAGGGCCTGCCATTCCACAAATATTCTAAACCCTACTCTGAGCCATCCTCCACCTCCCCTGGAAGACAACAGACCCATAGGATACTGGCTCTCTGTCCTTTCTATTTACCCTAGGAAGGCTAGTGATAACACCCATTCTATGATGGGGGGGCTGGGCATCCACACCCCCAACCACTGTTTAGACAATAACAAATATCAAAAAGACCTAAGCTCCATCCCTTCACCTCATGACCCATATCACAGCATACAAGACTGAGGCTATCAGGGGTGGAGCCACGGGAGTCCATATTACAGCATTACTCAGGGCAGGGCAAGGATGATCCCAGGACTCCACGTGGCCTGTCCACAGCCACGCAGGTATACAATATTGATCACTTAGTACATAGGGAAACTGAGGCTCAGGAAACTCATCACAGGTCAAAGGGAGGATTGTAATCACATCTCTAACCAGGAGGAGGGGAGGGGGTTGCCTCACAAGTGGGAAGTGCCCAGAGACTGGACCTCACAGGTGCATCACTGAAAAGAAGCCGTTTCAGAGCTTACTGGAAGCTCCCAGGAGCCAGACAGGGACAAGTAAGACCCCCCAACCCATCCCCAACTAAACAGCCTTTTGTGTGCTAATGTATCAGAGCCCCCAGCCTTTCCAGGCTGACCTTGGGCAAGTCCCACCAGCTCTCCTAATCCTTGAAATCGCCTCCTCCAGGCTGATAGGCCAAAAGGACTCTTTTGAGTCCCAGGCCATACCAGGTTCAGGGCTGGCCCCCAAATTATAGAAGCAAATAGTCCCTAATTTGGCCCCCCAAGACCACATTAAGGACTCTGAGCATTTGACTGATGGGGTAGGGTAGTATCAACCAAAATAAACCAAATCCACCAGGACTGGGGCAAGCCTTTCGGCTTCTGCAATGCTAAGCAGTAACCAGACTCCTCATGTCAGCCTTCAAGCCCAGCTTCCTCTTGGGCCAAGAGACTAAATCAATCGGGCTTCAGCCGAGTTCCCCAAGACCCTCAAATCCAACCCAGGTGGGCAGTGGCCAGCAGACTGAACTTTTGGAAAATAGAAGTTGCAGGGTTCGGGTTTGGTTGTGTTTGTAAATGGATTCGACTTTAGAAGCATTCATGGTGCAAAGCTGGCGTTCAAACAGGAACGGGAGCCTTGGGCACTGAAGGTGAAACCTCTTACGCGTATTTTTGAAACTATACACTTAAAAGTAAAATAAAAGCTTCCTTCCTTCCTTCCTTCTGGAGACCTTTGAACCTTTTAAGAGCCTAAGCCAACTCTAGGCCCCACTGCATGGTGACCTCGGCCAGTCCCTTCTCGCTCACAGGATCAGTTTCTCCTTTTGTAAGGCGAGGCTGGCTGGGGTGGTCACCAGGAACCTCGAAGAGGACACCTGCCTGCAGCACGAAGTGGGCGCCCCGGGGTGCTGCGTGCCCCGCGGGGTGGGACCGGTTCGGACTTCCGCAGGCCCCGGGACATTGGGGGAACCCGAGAGTGCGGGAACCCGCAGAGCGGACTGCTGCGTCCCGTCCGCCTCACTGCCGGGTCTCGGCTCGTGCGCGGGAAGTCGGGGAGGGTCTTCTTTAGGCCCCCCTCAGCTGTGTAACCCAGGCGTCCCGGGCCGTGCACACCCCCTAGCAATGCAGCCCCCTCGTTCCTCGCCTCCCCCCTCCCCGCTCCGCCCCGTCTGTGATAAGGGTAGAGAGAGATCCCCTCGGAGACCTTACACCCCAGTGCTCACCTGTACGGTTCACCGCGGCGGGCGTGGTGTTCCCGGCCCGGCCCCGGGGCTTCGCCCGGCCGCGGAGGGTCTCGGCCACCCGGGGCATCTTGCGCGCTCCGCCGCGGCTTCCCTGGCCGGTGGAGACAGGGGGCGGGGCCCCGAGGGGTGTGCGCAGGGGGCGTGTCCGCCACTCCCCCAGCCACGCCCCCGAGGCGTGGTGCCTAGCCTTGGACAGGCCCACGCTGTGCCTGGAGGGGAGGCCCGCGCTAGGGACAGGTAGGGGCAGGGTTCTGGCTGGGGCGACCACGAGGAGCCCCGCTCTGTGACTGCATTCCTGAAGCCAGTCCTGGACAGGTGTTCCTTGGAGGCTTCCCATGCCTTTTCCTCTCCTGGACTCTCCTGTCCTGTTCCCCCATCTTGGCTCCTAGAGTGATTTTTCACGTGTTTCCATATGTTTGTTTGTGTTTCGATTAGGGTTTCTCGGGTGCATAGTTCAACAGGTGCCAAAGAATTGAAAACAAAATCCCTTTTCCCCTGCTCCTTAGACTACTCCCAGCGTGTCTTATGTGGTCTGTTTCTCTTGGGTCTCACTTATAGGCAAGGCTCTCTCAGATTCTCCTGAGGAGGCTGGTCATACTGTAATCCTCTGATGTGAGTAGGATTAGCAGCAAGTGTGTGTGTGTGTGTGTGTGTATGTGTGTGTGTGTGTGTGTGTGTGTGTTTTCTGGCTGACCCCTTCAGGTCCAGCTCCCTGGGTGGGCCTCTCTGGGCCCCGAAGTGTGTGGTTCACCCATTCTTCTCCCTCTGGAGCCCTCCTACCCCCAGGGTCCTAGAGACAATCCCTTACCTACACAATAGCCAGGGAGAGATTTTACACCCTGAATTTGGATTTTCTCAGGAAAGTTACTCTAGCAGAGGTAGGAAATGCAAGGGTCCTGAGGTAGGAATATGTTTGGCTTCTCCAAGGACAACCAGAATCTCAGAGTGGCTGGCCTTTGGCATGCCTTGAGAAGGCTAGGAAGATAATCCAGACACTGGCAAAGCTGGGACAGGTATGGCTCTAGCCAGGCAAGTGACCATGAGGAATGTAGTTAATCTGAGAGACTATAGAGTAGGGATCCAGTAGGACAGGCTCTCTCCTGACCTCTGCTTTGTGAGTCCACAGAAGCTGAGGAACACACAAGGGACTTTCCTCAGTCTCTATCAGAGTTGGTTTCACTCCCTAATATCTCATTTTGGACTGTGGGCCACAGATGATGCTTTCTTCAATTTCCTCCATGCAAAACTGAGCATGTGTGTCCTCTCTGCCTAATGGGGAAGGACCATGTACCATACCACTGTGACCCTACCCCCTCTAAAACATACTTCTAGAACCCCAGAATTCCCAGGTTACTTGCCTGAGAACTGTGTGGACCCTTTCTGGGTATTTCCCCCCCTCACCCCCTCTCCCAGCCTCCCTGAAGGGCAGTTGCCTGTTTGCATATGTGTGGGGCTGGGAAGGGAGGTCTGGAACAACCTTTGATTGCAATTGGAGCTGTGTAGGATGTACAAACTCTAGACTCTCTGGGGCTCTCCACATACCTCTATGCTATGGCTCAGGCCTCTAAGAATCCAACAATGCTAACCACCTGACCATTTAGGGAGTGTGTGCTTCCTAGGCCTGTGTAACAAAGGACCACAGATACAGTGCCTTAGAACAAAAGAGATTCATTATCTCATCATTCAGGAGGCCAGAATCTGAGCTCAGTATGTGGGAAGAGCTTGTTTCCCCAAAGGCTCCAAGGGAAGCCCTTCTCTTCTCTTTCTTCTCACCTCCTCTAGCCTTCCAGCTTCAGGCAGTCCCTTGGCCTCTGACAGCAGGCTATATATGTATGTCTCTCTGGGAATGTCCTTATGAGATGAGGGCTGTCCAGACTGAGGGCTGTGTAAAGCCCGGCAAGTCCTTTGTCACATGACAGTATAGAACTATATGGTTGTTTTTTTTTTTTGGATCCGGTCGTGGGCCTGAACTCTGGGCCTGGGCGCTGTCCCTCAGCTCTTCAGCTCAAGGCTAGCGCTCTACCACTAGAGCCACAGCGCCATTTCCGGCTTTTTTCTTTTTGCTCATGTGGTGCTGAGGAATCAAACCCAGGGCCTCATGCATGCAAGGTAAGCGCTCTACCACTGAGCCACCTTCCCAGCCCCCTATATGTTTCTTATATGCTTTGCTTCTGCTGACCATGACTAAATGCATGTGTTTAATAACCTTGTATGGCTTGCAAGTGATGTTATACCTATCCAAATTATCCTTGGCAGAAAAAAAGGTTCCCGGCCCTTTAAGACACCACTCATAATAGATTTAGGCCCACTCCAGTGTACTGATGACAGATGTATTGGTTATATCTACAATGACCCTAGCATCAAATCAGATCAAGTTCACAGGTCCTGAGCATTTGTACTTGGGAGGAACAACTCAGTCCTTAATGGGACAGAGCATGTTCATCTGAGAAGTTGTAATTTCATCTACACATCCTCAAGGGTAATGGCACTAAGCCTCCATGCGCTCCATTAGAGGACCTATGCCACATTCTGCAAGAAACTGTATTCCTGGTTGTGCTTCTTGCCACCATAGCTACCTTCAGAGCAGCAAGAAGGTTAAGGCTGAGATCCAAGCATTGTGGTTTGAAGCCAGTCTAGGCAGAAAAGTATATGAGATTCTTGTCTCCAATTACTCACCAAAAAAACTGGCAATGGAGTTGTGGCTCAAAATAGTGGAGTGTCAATCTTAAGCAAAATAAAAAACAAAACAAAACAAAAAAAAACAAAACTCAAAACTAAAGGAAAGCCAGGCCCCAGTGAGTCCATGAGACTTTTATCTTCAATTAACCATCCAAAAGCCAGAAGTGAAATTGTTGTTCAAATGGTAGAGAACCAGCTTGGAGTAAAAGTGCTAAGGGACTGTAATAAGGCCTTGAGTTCAAGCCCCAGGACCAGTACACACACACACACACACACACACACACACACCCCAAAAAGAACTGACACCCTGTGGACTGACTACATGCCGGGCCAGTTTAGGAGTGGGGACACAGTGTAGCCCAAGATGAGATCAAATCCACTTGGGGGCTGCTCCTGCAAATCTAAACCTAGGCAATCTTCTTCCTGCTTTCTGAATCTTTTCTGCACTTCCTGAATTTGCTACAATGAAAACAGGAAACAAAGATTTCCATCACTTCCTACATGTAAATGATTAAAAATTGTTCCCAACACTGTTACATTTGTCACAGAAGACATAACCTGAACTCTTACATTACAGGTGGACATAACCTGGGGAAACTGAGGTTCTAAGAAAGAAACTATCTTGTCTGAGGTCACTGGCATGTTAGGATTACACCTTATTATTATGATCTAAGGCATTCCATTCTAAGGATAGAGTTTCAGGGGCATGTTGAGTTTCAGGGGCACTTCGTCTGTGTTTTCTTTGACTGAAGCTGCTCCAGCTAAGCTGGGAGGTAAGAAGGTACCTAGGTGGGTCAAGGGCAACCAGAAGCTTAATGCTCAGAGCCTGTTAAGCTTCTTTGAGGCCTAACACCTGCCCAGTGAGCAGGACTGGCCCCCTACTGCCTGGTCATCAGAGAGGTTGCTTCCCCTCCTCCCCTCTTCCCCCTCTACTCCCAACCCAATCAGTGGCACTCAGATCTTACCAGGTATGTGGGCACCCATGCTCCAATCCTGCCTCTTTACCATCCTAGCCCAGTCCCACCCAGTCTCTGCTCAGCCCTGAGTGAGCCCCCACCCTTCTCTGAGCTTGAGTCTCTTTCTCCTACCTCCTCATGAGAAAAGTTCTGACTGCCAGAGCAAGTCTGGACCTAGCTTGAACTCTGGAGGCAGATTTCTTTAGGCCCTCCTAGAGGTGAGTGTTCTCGGTGGACTGTAAGGCTGGCCAAGGCCCATCCAATTGCAGAAATCAGAGAGACTTGGATTTCTGAAGCTGCTGGGTCTCTTGTAAGACAGAGGAGGAGTCTGAGGCCTAAAAAATGAATGTCTGTCTGAGCAATACAGCTCATCCCAGAATTTTTCTATACAACTAGAGTCTGTCTGAACTCACCTTATAGGACTTGAGCTCTTTCTACCTCAGCTTCCCCACCTGCAAAACTGACATGCCAGCCAAGCATTGGTGGCTCATGCCTATAATCTGAGCTACTCAGGAAGCTGAGATCTGAGGATCAAGGTTTGAAACCAGCCTGAGCAGGAAAGTCCATGAGACTCTTACCTTCAATTAACCACCAAAAAGCCAGAAGTGGAGCTGTGGCTCAAGTGGTAGAGCACCAGCCTTAAGCGAAAAAGCTAAGGAACAACACCCAGATTCTGTGTTCAAGCTCCAGTAATGGCATAAAAACAACAATAACAACAAAATCTAACATGAAAGAACCCAAGGCAAAGAAAGGCCTAAATATAATGCCTCAATGGTAATGCCAGGGATATGTGATAGGGGATCTTTGCCACTATTTCTGGAGGTGCTGTCCATAGGTTTTGTGTCTACACTCTGCCTACAATGCCAGTACCCAGCTTTCATTGACAGATGCTTCACTGCTCCAATTTTTATAGATGGGAAACTGAGGCTTGGGCCTATGCATCACACATTTCCTATATGGCTGTTTCAGTCATTTGCAAAGGATAGTAACCCAACATTAAAACTCTCTGCAGGTTTTTGGCCCCCTCTCTGTGTCCAGCATGTGTCCCTCTTTTGGCCTCATTTCACCCATCATAGTAGGGGGGATAGCTACCCATGGCTTCAAGGTTCTAGGTAAGAGCGTTGCAGGGCATGGTACCTGAAGCCAGATAAGCACCTCATCCCAGCATGGACCACCCTGGACCCATCACTATGGCCAGACAGAGAATCTTGGATAGGCCAGGGCTTCAGGATCAGATACTATATAACAGAAACTTTGAAGGTCTTATTCATTTTTGCAGGGCTGGGGGGATAGAACCCAGGGTCTCATACATGCTCAGCAAGCACTCTATCACTGAATAACATCCCCAGCCCAACATTTCTTGAAATAGCAATCATCTTGTCATATGCTTACAAACCTGTAGTTCAGGCAGGGCTTGGCATCTTCCCTCTGCTTATGCAGATGCTCAACTGAAGCAGGAGG